TGTTACGCAGCTAGTTAATGAAATCCAAGTAAAAAAATGCAGACCCTGTTGTATTTTATTGTAATTTATTAAAAGAAGGTACACCGGCATCTTGTGCCGACTAAACTGACTTGAACGCACATGACGTCGTAATTACGACTTGTCAACTCGTAAGTACGAACGTCCCAGGAGGACTTGAACTATGAGGACATGAACGCATGAACTTCATCTCCAGAGCTGCTCTGAGAGTCACTTCATCAGCTTTATGCAGTTTCATTTGAGAAAAAGTACCGTCAAAATAAAAGTCTGGTTTAACTTGAAATTATGACCGACTATATTACTACTGTATACTAAAATGCAATTCTCAAAGTAATAATAATATTTTTAGGGAATATCATACAACCAAGTTATTTATTATTATTAATTTATACAGTTCTGTTGTGCAGTATCTTATCTGATTAAATGAAAATGCAACGTTTTGTTGTTAATTAATTTTTGATTACATTTTAAAAGATTGATTAATTTGTTAAAGTTTTATTAATTCACACATTTGTACTGAATCATAAAACACAGAATCCATAAGAAATCAAATGGAAAACACAGAATTTAGGGGAAAATAAAATGCATTTCATGGGCCCTAAATTAAAACGTAGCTCCTCTGTGGAATTTCATTGTGAACAAAGTTATGTTTAGCTTCATTCTCAAGGTCTAACAAACATGTGGAAAGCATTTTCTTCCCCATTAATGGTAAATGAATACCATGATAAATATCAATATTGTATGATATGGAAGAAAAAAAAATATTGTGATGGGCTATATTTATAAATTTTTCTGGAATATTTTCCTGGATTGTTAAAAAACATTTAAAATGCTTGTGAGAAATCATTAATGTTTATTAATGGCAAGATATAAAGTGTATATATATATACAGTGGGGGGGAAAAGTATTTAGTCAGCCACCAATTGTGCAAGTTCTCCCACTTAAAAAGATGAGAGAGGCCTGTAATTTTCATCATAGGTATACCTCAACTATGAGAGACAAAATGAGAGCTTTATTTGTCTGTTACTAAACTGTTACTAATGATGGAAATATTGTAATCAACTGTTATCCATACGTATTCATTTTAATAATCTTTATAATAATTCATATGATTTTACATGTGGCCTGAGAAAATCATGCCTATTATTTTGGTTTGTGAGATCGGAGATCGCGCTGTGCAATTGTACAAACATTCAGGAGGACACAAACTTCTTGAGAACGCTGCCCCATGACTTTTATTAATAAAATAGATTAAATAGCCGACTGGAGAGACGCACAGACACTATAGGCTAATCCACACAGGCAACTGTCACCTCTCTCTCTCTCTCGAATAATTAATTCAAGTAGCTAAATGTTATAATTAATTAATTCAAATAAATGTGATCTTACCGCACTATTTCATCTCTTTCTGATCTGAAGCAGGCAGAATGCGGAGCTAACAAGCTGTAGCTTCGCATCAGGTGGTTCTTGCCTTCACGTCGTGCATTAAAATCGTTCAATGCACAGCGAGCCGTGCATTATCCCTTATGTATTCGCTCTTTAGCAGCAGTTTTTTTACAGCAATATTTAAATGACACCCTGGTCATTCTTGGTGTACCCAAAATGGTCCCACACTATCGACAGGCATTTCTCTGGTGGATATAAAGCTTCGCTGTTTGGTTCCTCTGTCAGTTCATCTAATGCATCGCTGCATCCCTAATATATATATATATATATAGGAGTAGGACTGCACGATAAATCGCATGTGATAGTTAATGTGCATCTTGTCAGTAAAGCCTGCTCTGTAATCAGCGGTAAATCTCCGTCACCTGCGCGCTTTCACATGGAGCAGAATTTGCTACTCCTATCTATCTATCTATCTATCTATATATATATATATATATATAT